TAGACAGTCACGTATGTTATGTTTTGTCACTACAGTGTAGACAGTCACGTATGTTCTGTTTTGTCATATTAAACTAACAAACTAATATAAATGATATCAAATCGCGAGTATTTTATGTTTCCACAGGTTCACTACAATTTCATTGTGTCATTGATATATTTTGAATTTTCCAAAAAATGTTCAAAACTACAATTAATGTTGCGATTTAAATGTAGATCGTCCAGTTTGGTATAGTCCTGAGAAGGACTGTTTTTGTTGTTGTTGACTGACGTTTCGACAACCTTAGCGGTAGTCATCTTCAGAGTCAAAAGTCAACAACAGTCCTTCTCAGGACTAACCAGCCTGGACGATCTGCACTTAAAAACATGTAACGATACTCCCGGGTTCAAACCATTTACTTTGTTGCGATTTAACTGGGAAACTTACTTTTAATGCGACTTTTCTCTAAAACTCTCTTCCTCTCAAACGAGATAAAATCTCTTTTGGCAGGATCTATGAGCCAATGTTTGCAGGTAAATCCATAATGACCGTCAAGAGTAACAATCAATTTCCCTGAAATTAAAAATTCAATAAAACATTGTAAAAATCATATGATATTCAAAACTGCCGTGCAGCTGCCTCATATGATCGTTTAGCATTTTTTGTGGATAAAGCAGCATGTTGATAATACTGAATGATCAGTTTCCGCAGACAGAAATTCATTTTAGGAAGAACATAATTAGAAATGTTGACAACAGATAAAATTTTGATCGAAAAATCTCTTACAAACTTAGAAACAATACCCAACTGCAACTTGGGAACGTTATGTATCATAAACAAGAATCAAAACTTTACATACGTTTAGGAAATCCATACGCTCTAAGTACCCAAGTAACACCAGAAAAACAGAAAGAATTGAAGCCACGTTGAATAGTGGAATGCCAAATTCTTGTTCAGAGGAACAACTCCATATGCTTCAAGCATCCATGTAACACTAGAAAAATAACAAGAAACCAAGCAATATTGAACAATCAACCATACTATAATTTTTTTGGCAAAATATATAAAATTTTCAGCTTGTAGAAACAAACCATCTAAAGCTTGATTCCCATTGGGTACTAAAAACTACTAATAACTTTAACAAGTCAGATTTTTATTCCCTTCTACATTTAGAACGGTTCCCTTTTTAACATTGTACACTGCACTCAGTGACTGCACAGTTGCTCCAAGTGAAATTTTTCTCTGACTTAACGTGCTGCAATATAACATAACTTTTTTGCGTGTACAGTATTGTTGCATTGACGCATTTTTATCGTTCAACATCGTTGAAGATTGCATTCAAAACTTTGCTTTTTTTTTCCATGGTAAAGTTCAATTGCCACTGCAATCCCAGTAGACGATACATTTTTTTTGTCAAACATGCATACATGTTGAAAAAAACACAACTTGAATTATCTTTTCGAAAGCTAATCAAAATTTGTTCTGTCGAAGGATTAGAAAGGAGATTCGCGAATTGTTAACCATGCGTAAATGTTGTGTTGTGCTTTTATTCAACAAAATTTTATGTTCTTATCTTATACCGTCAAGCTGTTGTGTCTTGACTCCTTTAATAGCTTGTAGTTCTAAATTAAATCAGAAACCATATAATATTAGTTGGACTCAAGTCATCTGTTCAAGATTAAAATGAACACCAATTTGTACAACAAACTACGCAAAGTCTACCCCTACATACACAACAAACCATGCAAAGTGTACCCCTACATACACATCAAACCATGCAAAGTGTACCCCTACATACACATCAAACCATGCAAAGTGTACCCCTACATACACAACAAACCATGCAAAGTGTACCCCTACATACACAACAAACCATGCAAAGTGTACCCATACAAACACCATGCAAAGTGTACACAACAAACCATGCAAACTGTCCCTACCTCTCCATGTACATCCAGTCTACCGACTATCAATCCCAAAGCCGCAAATGAATATATTTTGAAATTTAACAAAAGAAAAAATGCTACTGATGAAAGAAGGCGAAAGGGAGACAGGTTTCTACAAATTTGTGATGGTAGTGTTGCAGACGGTTGCATGTTTATGATTAAGGAGTACTGATAAATAAATCATGTTTGAGGGAAGTTATGTTAACTTTGTATCATAGAGAACGTTTGGTTTGGGAATTATTTTAGTATATCATCCAATTATAACTGGTTTTATATACGTTACTCAGTAAAAAACCACTTACGAATTCAGTTGGTGTTTCTTACGATGGTGGAACATCGCTTTTTAAAGATATCTGAAATATAAACATTGGAAATTAGACAAAAGGAAAGACATTAAAAGATTATGGAGATATGCATAACTTTTTTTCATAAAAAAACAAAGATTATGATAAGAAGCAGTAAACTACAGAAAACGAACATACAGCAAGAATTTGACGACAAGTAACATAAGACGAAATGAAACGAGAGCAGTTTCATAAAAAGATCAGAGCGATTCTCACATCACCACGTTGTTTAACTATGGTAGGAAATCAGATCTTTAAAGGTGAATACCAAAGTGGAAGGGGGATAGTAACAATTATCAGAAAAGAGAATACAATTTAAAATTATAACTACAGTGATAGCGACCTGTGAAGATCGACCTTACTTTGTGACCAAGGAATGGTTACTGGGAAGATCGACCTTACTTTGTGACCAAGGAATGGTTACTGGGAAGATCGACCTTACTTTGTGACCAAGGAATGGTTACTGGGAAGATCGACCTTACTTTGTGACCAAGGAATGGTTACTGGGAAGATCGACCTTACTTTGTGACCAAGGAATGGTTACTGGGAAGATCGACCTTACTTTGTGACCAAGGAATGGTTACTGGGAAGATCGACCTTACTTTGTGACCAAGGAATGGTTACTGGGAAGATCGACCTTACTTTGTGACCAAGGAAAGGTTACTGGGAAGATCGACCTTACTTTACTTCGTGAGCAAAAAATGTTGTGAAGGGAGATCTTGCTTTGCATGCAAAAAAACTGAAAATATTTTCTTGAAAAACATTGCAAGACGTCTGTAAATCAACTGAGACGGCAAAAATTAAAAGAAAAACAAGTTTTACTTACATTTCCTTTAATGTTAGGTGACGATGTCTGAGATTGTATTTTACCGATCTAAAATTGTTTAACGTAACGTTAGATTCACATAACCACGTGATCGTGACAATTTCCTCATGAACCTACCTCCCATGAAAGCTCTTTTTTGATTGGATCAAATGAATAGGTACCAACTGAAAACATGGAATACAAGTCATAAATGTTGATGGGAAACGTCAATGAAGAGCAATGAAACATCAGACTGTAATGTTTAATATTTTATGAGTGTTTTTACCGTTTGTAGTCAAGTTAAGGTTGAGAACTTGTTTAGGAAATGGAACAGTCACGACAACATTCTCGATCTAAATAAAATATGGAAACAATGAGTGAAAAGACTTTGAAAAAGTTAATGTATACAATATTTGACTTGGTAGAGTACGTTAGGACGATGTAGTTAGTTTTATACAAAATGCTTTGAGATAATACGTAAGAAAAATAATGGACTAGTTTAGGTTATATCTTTAAGTTTATAAATGCAAGAAGATGCAACAGCAGCTTAATAAATTGACATGATTATAAATAAAGTAAATGGCTTGGAATGGTATTATATATACATACATTTTTACCCATAACTGGTTTTGAACTTATCGACAATTCAAATCTTCCACTTCCACCCTGAAACAACCAAGTAAAAGACGATCATCGAATCAATGTTTTGAACAGTCGTACGAATTAAAACACAGCAAAATCAAATACTTTAATTTATTTCAATCAATAAAAAATATTTTAAAATAATTTCAACAGTTGATAAACCTCTTGAAACAAGACACGAGGCTTTGCAAACAATGGTAGCATATTTACTCTAAACAAAAAAACAAAAAATACCATCGAAATAGACAATTTTATCATGAAAATATAACAGCTAAAACAACCACCCGGTTGCCACGTTATATGATATTAAACGAAAACGACCATCCGGGGGGACGAATGACAAAATTCGTTCAGACTAAAATACACAGATATTTGAAATAGTCGCGCTCAAACGCGGTTTTAGTGCAAGATTTGAAGAAAAGTGTTCAATGTAAAAAGACAATTGTTATTAGTCATATTAAGAATAATTTGTGTTGACTTCGACCAGAGACAATCCATATTCAACATTCACACTTACGTACCTCCCATCTTCTGAAGCGAAGACAAGGATGAAAACTGACATCTTCAAGGATACGAGGATTTGTAAAACACATGTTGAGATCTATAATAAATAGAAATCTTTAATCTACAGATAAATTCAATTTTAATCTAGAGATATCACAAAGTATCATAAATATACCAGGCATGCCAGTTAATTTACAGTTGCAGTCAATCTGAAAGAACAAAGTTGAAAAAAGGTGAAAACTTTAAAATGTTGTGCTAGAGAGTACATATAACAAAGTATAAAAAAAGGAAGGCACTTACAGTTCCTTGTATTTCTGAAAATATGGTGGAGCCCTACACAAAACAGAAAATTTTAGGAATTTAAACATGCCATAAGTTTTCAGTTTGTACATGTCCTTAGTTTTAATTTAACATCAAACAAAAACAACAAACATATTTTTGTCATACATCTTCCACAAAGGGAAGAAGAAATCCACAATATTATAATGTTGTTACCTGTTTATCAATGATGGCATCAATGCTTTCGGCTACATCAAAATAAATCTAAAACATAAATCGAATTAATTAGAAATACTTAGGACTAATTTGTGATAATTAGAATTAATTGGAACTAATTATGAATTAGAACTAACAACTAATTAGCAATATTTATTACAACTAATTAACAAAAGAAAAAGTTCACACATCACATTACAACTAAAACAAACCATAAAAAAGGATTTTCTTTCAAATTTCTTAATGGAACAATGTGAATATAGCTATGTACCTCATTATTTGCATATTTTACATCAGTTCTCCTCCATGGAACATTGGACAATTGACCAGTTGGGAGATGACTGCTCATACTAGGAAAATATGAAATATTAAACTTAAATTACAACATTAAGTAACCTTAATATAAACACAAACCTTCACTTTCAACAACAGAAACAAAGAAAAGATCATGGCGAAATATACTGATGAGATAACTGAATCCTGTTGCAATTACAGGAGGAATGTCTTCTGGAGAAGTAGCCTGAACATAAAAGATGATATTTAATTTGTTTAAGAGCATTTTTGTCAGACAAATATAACATGAAAACCGTTCATGAAAGTACCTTAAAACTTCTCAACCAAACAAGCACAAACAACAATTTACACATAAATTCATTTACCTTTCCTTGAGCTTCGAAGAAATAATCACAAACAGAGCGTCCCAAAACACTTCTCCGATGTTTTGCCAGAAATATATCCCTAAATGTACATGAAAAACATCATATGACCTAGTGACTCACAGTAACCCATTTGGTGTAAAGTTGTGATAACTAAACAATTGAGGAAGCTGAAATCATCAAAATGGCATGATCTGACTTCAACACTATTGAAATTACAGATAACAGGTAATATCTCACGATTTTTATGACATTCTTTATTTTTTCTGGGTATTAATCCTGTCACATGATACTTCTCATAATCTACCTTCATTGGCTTCTGACATTATTCAAGCTTTCCTTTAATATCTTACTGAAACTAATCTCATTTTATCTCATTCAAATAATTGTAAAGTACTTCTCACAAAATCACAAGCTGATACGTACAAAACCAAGAGAAGAGCTTTGAGAGCAAACAAATATAAAACCAATACATATTGTCACTACCGACTCACCCAGAATGGTTGATGATAAGCAAACTGTGAATCATTGTAAAATCCACAGATAATAAAACCTATAAAAATGTATTTATACTTTACTTAACTAGCTTAATGGTTATAAAACTATTTTCATGTAAGTTCATTTCGTAAATATTTATTTATATTATTGCCAACATTTAACCAACATTTAAAAGCGATGTTTCCATTTAAAAAAATTAAGATTCATGTAATCATCTTACTTGTCCCCAGACCACTGAAGAATCAACGGCCTTTACCAGCTGGCTTACCTAACTTAACTTTATTTATGGTCGTGAAGATTTTCGTCTCAATCAGGGTTGTTAGTTTGGCCTTTTTGAGGCCAAATAACTCGATTTTGGCCTTTTTTTTCTTTCTTTGGCCTCGAAATCTTTTTTTGGCTATTTGGCTACTTTTTGGCCTCTTTTTACTCAAACAATTTTTTTAAAATTTTTATTGAGCTTTATTTGTAAAAATCTCTTAAATGTACAAAATGCGATGGAAATACAACAAAAATGATCATAAGGATCAAATTGAGCATTGAATTGTTTTCATCCAATCGCAGCTAAGTATAATTCAGCCAATTGTCATGCAATTTAACCAGCTAATCACAAGCAAGCACACAGCTTTGTCTTCGTAGACGTCCGACATCTAGCTATAAATAGCACGTTCGACCACTACTAATACTAGTTAAGACTGATAAAAACGTTATTCGTTGCAATATTATGGCATCAAAATGAAAAGGAGCGTATGATAGCGGAAGAAAATATAACAAGTCTTGGGAAAGTAAATTTAGCTGGCTCACAAAGCTTCAGACGGAAGTGAAGATGCTTTTGTAAATTGTGCCGTGCCACAATCAGACCCAAACAAGCAAACTTAACCAAACACGAAAAAACTGATAAACACATCAAACACATTAAAGTATCTACTACTACAAGGCCCATCCAAGTCGTACGTGTCCCAAAAGTTGCAGAAGAAGTAAAGGTCGCCGAGATCGAGCTAGCTGTTACAATGGCTTGCCATTCGGCAATCTTGACCATGGATCATCTCGGAGGATAATAGCCCGAAATGCTCATGGAAGCAAACTTGAGAACATTAAAATGCATAGAAACAAATGCTCAAAACTATTGACCAAAGTTATAAGTCCAGCGTTGAAGGAACAACTGATTGCTGATGTCCAGGGTAAGAAGTTTTCGTTAATTGTGGATGAATCTACTGATATTTCCACATCGAAGCAGGTCTGCATTATCGTAAGGTATTTCAGCGAAGTTGAAAATAAGATCGTTACAGCGTTTGTTGACCTGGTTCCTGTTGTCCACACTTCAGCAGATGATCTTTTTAATGCAATCAAAGATTGCCTTGCCACAATTAAACTTGATTTAGTGAATTGTGTTGGCTATGCTAGTGACGGTGCTTCAGTGATGGTTGGGGAACACAATTCGCTGTGGACAAGAATAGCTGCTGTCGCTCCTCATTGCATCAAGATGACGTGTATTTGCCATTCGTTGTCCCTTTGTGTTCAGCATGCATTTGAGAAACTTCCGTCGAGTGTAGGATTTCTTCTGGCAGAAATTCCGAAATGGTTTTCAAAGACGCTATTAGAAGAGAAGCATACAAGACGCTCTACGAAGTGATGAATCCAGATGATGTGCAAGATGCACCGTTTGAGAAGTACTCAACTACGAGGTGGCTTGTGAGAGGAAAAGTTATATTTCGCATTCTCACAAATTGGTTTGAGCTGCAAGCTTACTTCCGAACAGCACAACCAGAGACGACGCAGGCAGCAAGATTCAAGGCTCGTATTCTTCTGGACATGCTCAATGATCCAGTCCTATATCTTTATTTCCATTTCGTTTCTCCTCTGGTCACAGAATTCGACAGGGTGAATGCCTTCTTCCAGGCAACTGATGGTGATCCAGAAGAAATGTTCACGGAACTAAATGTACACCATAAAAGTTTATATGGTAGAGTTTTCGACCACCAAGGAAAATATCTAGCCATTTATGAAGTTGACTTTGGTGGAAAGTTCTTGTCAGAAGCAAAGAAATACATTTCTTCCCAACAAGACAAACGACGTGCTGAAGCTGAAGTTTCTGAAGTGAAAAATAGGTGTCTAGAATTTCTTGTGGAAGCTGTAAATCAAGTAGAGAAACGTTTACCAGCTGTCCGGAATATCTTTAAAGGTTTAAGCGCCCTGCATCCAAGCAAAGTTCTTGATGTAACAACGAGAGCCGATTTTGAGCAACTGCCGCTTCCTAATCTACGAAAGGATCAAGATTATGCAATTGAGGAGCAGTACAGGAAGATCGTCCACCGAAATTGGAAAGAGGAACAAATTTTAACGGCATCATACCTGATACAGCAGTTGCATTTTGGTCAAAGATAGTTCAGTTCCAAACTTCTCTTGGGGTCAAACCATTCAAGGAATTGGCAACTTACGCCTTAAGCTGCCTGACAAATCCTGTAAGCAATGCAGTGGTTGAAAGAACCTTTTCCTTGGTGACATCAGTGAAGACCAAACAACGCAATAGGATGAGCTTAGAACTGCTAAATGCCATTATTCGTATTCGTTCCAGCCTACACTTTGCCGGGAACTGCTGCATTAACTTTAAGGTAACTAAGCGAATGCTTGAGCTGTTTGCCACTAAACACATGTATGAATGTGAGTAGAATAAACATTATAAGAACTATGCATAAATATTTATATAAATCTGTATATATGGAGAGCAGTAAAAATGACAACTATGCACGTCGAGATCTTATAGAAAGACAGATAAAATAGTTTATTCACTTTGTATTTTTGACATGGCCTTTTTAAGCTTGTAATGCTTATCGAGAAATTTTTGGACGTGTAGTTCATTTTTTCTCTTCATTTCGTCAACAAGCACCTTATATTTTTGCAACAGCGAATAAATTTTCAGTCTTACGTTCTGTATTCACCTCTTCCCATATGTCCTTTGATGTGAACATTAGGCGTTGGCATCGGTAGATTTTCAATGTATGGTATATATTTATGATAAATCCATATAGACTATAAGAAGCAATTAGAAAAACTTATTAAAACCGCATGCCATAAACAGTGCGGGCTCAGAAAACAAGTTTGGCCTCTTTTGTTGCCATTTGGCCACTTTTCAAACCATATTTGGCTACAAACGAGCGCTGGAGCCTAACAACCCTGGTCTCAATCCCATGATCCTCATTAATAACAAGTCAATGAATTGTAGGAGTCCCAAACAGTTATAAAATATAACGACAGATGAAACACCATGCACTAGATACAAGGAGAGATGTTCTGTTTTACTCGATTTTAATTTTGTTTATAAAAACGTATTTCGAGATAGGAATGGACCGTGACTTCCTTCAGTTTTTTATGCACATGCTACAGAAACCACGGAATCTACAAACTTGCTAAAACTTTAATTGTAGACTGCATTCTGGAAAACAACTTCGTTCAAATCCTGAGTTTAATAAATAAGTCTCATTCTACTCGCTACGAACGCCCTGCTGTGGGCTAGCTGCTCAAATTTTGTAAGCTTGTCATTTGCATCATACAATACGATTCATACCAAAATGCTGAAAATCTTCTTTCTTAGCAATGACAATGTACATAATATCCACATCCTAATTAGACAACCCTTTCTTTGATAACGGATGCACTTTAGTGAAGTCTTGCTGGCGATGGTTGTTATATTTTTATGTTTAAAAGCATAACATTGACTGGTAAAGCCGCTGAATACATTGCCAACAATCGTTCTTTCAACCAATAACTTAGTCTAGAAAGTTGGAGTACAAAACATGAACAAAGGCATTAAATCAATTCACAACAACAAGTTTGGAAAATACTCTCAGGCTCATGTCATTGACTAGGTTTGGTTATTACATACACCTTGATATTTTGAGCAGACACCTCTTTTCTTCTGGGATTTTCTGTCGGTACAACAAGAAAACAAGCCCAGAAATATATAATAAACACTTGCATGTAAAACAATACATTCAACCGCAGGGGCTTCGAAAAGTTGGGTGTGTGCCATGCTAACTATGTGGTAATTCACAATAGTTAAACTGGTGTGATAAATTTTTTGATATTTAATTCGATTTTTTTTTGTTTAACTGCATCATGTCACCCTAATTGAAAAGTTAGCACATCTGTATAAATCAAGTATTCAATTTTTTATCAAATCTTATAAAATGCTCACAATCTAAAAATTGGAAGCTTCCGAACGTACATAGCTTCCCGACTCCTGAGCCATTTTTTTTGTAGAGCTTAACAATCAAAAATTAAGAAAAAATTTAATTGACAACAAGCAAAGACGAGTTGCATTACGAGCGAGTTGTTGTTGACATAATTATGAGATTAATGATTTGGTTTACTGCATTTGTGTTTAATTTGTAGTTTAAATAGCCATCAAAATAAAAATAATCTGATAAAAATTCTTTTCTCAAAACGAAAAGCTTATCATTAGATAACTGATAACTCACAAATAATTGCGAAAATTGTCTTTTGTAAAGCAAGGCATGAGAAATATGGATGTTTCAATTAAAATAACGAAACATGGTAGAGTCCCTCGGCAGTATTCATACTTTGAGTTCCATACACACCAATAATGCACACTACAATAATAGAATCAATGGAAATTAACTGAAAATGTGGAATCTTGACCTAACAAGTAACAAATGACTGAAAGAGACAGATCTGGCGAAGTATTTAAAAGACTGAAATTCATAAATGCAAGCTTGTGGCTTAAAACATACCATCTTTTGCCTCAAGAAAAATGCAACACAACTAAGCCAAAATAAACAAAAATTCAGCAACTTTGACTTCGTCATCATTAACCTCAACGTACACAGATTTTCTTTTAACAATTTCAAAGCTGCAACAAAAGAAATACTAGGAAATGGTGACAACCTCACATGAAAGTGTCCTTTTATTCAAATATTACCAATTTCCCCAATTCAATAAGTTGTTCTTTTTATGCATATCAATCTTTTACCCTTTGCAGTGTACTGTATTGACGTACATAAACTGAATAGCGTTCTAGTACATTGAACTCACGCTCGGAGCTCATACGAAAGACTTATATAACGCTAAAGTACAACGGATTTTGAGCACAGATCGAGCAACTCCTTAATTGCGTTACAAGTCATGACATCCATATTATATTGTTATATATAGTTATATGTATTGTTA